CACACACACACACACACACACACACACACACACATGGAGCATCGTGGCTCCGCCCACTTTCATTCATGCTCAGCCTGGTGGATCTCAGAGGAAAAATGTTGTGAAAGCTGGAAATGTTGTCATATTAACAATGAAGAATTGATTAATCGATTTATTATTGAATCTTTTGAATTTGCAGATATAATTATTGGAACCTTCTCGATGCCGAGGAGAAGATTTTAAAATAATCCTTCATAACGAAACAGACCCACAGCATGATTCTTCCACCACCTGACCTCCTTCTGGACCAATCATCACTGGGGATGATTTCAATTCTTCTTCTCTCAGATTTAAACATCTAAATGTGTGAAAACGCGCCTCAATGTGAGGAAAATAATCAGAGGAACAAAAGCTAAAAAAAGTTTCTGTTTGACGTTGGAATGAATGAGCAGAATGAACGGCTGGTCCGGTTACCGCCAGAGGCCTGGTGGTCCAACACGGAGCAGCAGTCCTGCAGCAGCCGGCGAGGGGCCTCCGCCACCGTCGGCATGGCAACCACCCTGGGCAGGGCGATGCTGGGGAAGCTGGGCAGACTGGGAGGGTTGGCGCCGCGGGGCAGAGAGCCGAGCAGAGCCGGGACCGTCAACACGCGGGGCAGAGAGCCCGGCATCGCCCTGGCAAAGACCGCAGAGCCACAGGAGCAGAAGAAGAAGAGAAGGTCCTAAAGTAGAAGAAGAAGAAGAAGAGGAAGAAGAAGAAGAAGAAAGCTGCTTCAACACATTTCAACACAATAAACTCAACTGGACTCAGTTATTATAATATCTGCTCAAATTAATTTCAAAATATTCATTATTCTTTTATCTTGGTGATTTTTGGATTAATTTCAGACGCAGTTGGGAAACAAATTAAGAAATTAATGATAATTTTGCTGAAATTATTTTTTTATGTGAGCTGAAATATGAAGTTGAAGCTATAAACATTACGTTTAATATTTGAAATGATAATTTCTGGAGTTTATTTTTAATTAACCACTTCATAAATAAAGTATATTTATTGATCACTGTTTACAGATGATCATTTTGTTTTCATGCTTTAGAAAATGAACTAAAGTTTGGAATCCAGACAGAATTGTAGCCAATATCCAGCCAAATAAAAATAAATTCATTTTATTTTTGTCATTTCTGACAAATATAGAATAAAGTCAAGATTATTTATTTCTGGAAAACTCTGCAACTAAACAATAAACATAACAATGCAAATAGTAAGACCTTTAGAGCGTCTGATCATTCTGACAGAAACGTGAATAATTAAACATTTGGTCTGAAAACGCTGCTGCTAAAATTCAAACTAAACTGTTAAAGTTTCCAAACAGTAATAAACAGTCGACCTTCTGACTCTGACCTCTGACCTGCAGCTCCTGCAGTGAATGTTTCTTACCTGCTGTTTCCCTCCAACGCTCTGATCAGCTGCAGCTTATGCAACATCTGCTGTCCTGCTGCTCCGATCTATAATCAATACGCTGCTCCGCCTCTGACGTCATCCCCCATCAGGAGGAGGGGAGCCGGCGCTGACCGGCGGAGCGTCACATTCAGCTCTGAGAGAGAGGAGCAGCGGCGCCTCCTCTTCCTAGGACGCAGTAACGGCTCCCTCTGCTGGGCAACAGAGGGAAGTGCAAACATTTCCCAGGAAGACGCTCAGGTTCAGTTGATGACATTTACAGGAGCCATTTCCACACACAGACAGCAGGGGGCGCTCTGCTCTGATAAACTTACATGTTTTATTAGAGATAAAAACAAACTTCACATGTTTCACATCCTACTGCTACAGCTTCACGCCGTCCACCGCCAACCCGCCGATGAACAGCCCTCCAAGCTCCGCCTCCAGCTCAGGCAGGTGGGCGGGGCTTGACTCCGCCCCTGAGTTCGTGTCTCCCAGCGTACGCCACCAGGGCAGCCGGCTCGCCTGTAGCGCGGCGTTGTGGGCGTTGCGCCCGCGAGCCGCGATGGACGCTGACGGGCTCAGGAAGGACTCCGCCTCTGCCGCCGTGACAACCGAAAGGGGCGGGGCATCTGTAGGGGTGATGGAGCTGATTATTGATCCTCTCTGCGCCACCACTCTGTGTGTGTGTGTGTGTGTGTGTGTGAGACCTCGCAGCAGCTCCAGGTGTGTGTGTGTTTGTGCCAGCAGAGCCTCCACCTGCTGCTCCTCCCTCCTGCGCTGAGCTCCACCCTGCAGCTCCGCCTGCAGGAGCTGCTGCACCTCTTCAAGCAGCGCAGCACATGCCTCCACCGACACACATGTCGACTGAGAACACACACACACACACAAACACACACACACACACACACACACACACACACACACACACACACACACACACACGTTAGAAACACTGATACGTCGAGGTTTGATGAAGGCCAAATTTAACGTCCAGCTTGTAGAAATAAAGTCAACCTCACCCTGTGTGTCTGGATGTGCTCCTCCACCTGCTGCTTTAGCTCCGCCCGCCGGCTGTCTGTCAAACCCTCCTGACCAATCCAGAGCAGCGTTGGGGGCGGAGCCTGAGCTGCAGGTCGTTTCTCCAGAAGCCGACGCCCCTGGAGGAGCAGACGGTGTTTCATCAGCAGCAGCAGCTGGACAGGTGAGATGACATCATCGTGTTTGTCTTACGGCTCTCTGTAGCGTCCTGGCGGCGCGCTGCCGCCTCGCCTCAGCCCTCAGAGCGTCGCCGTAGCGACGTCTGTCCCTGTAGCCTCTCCACGCGCTCTGGATCAGCACGGCGGCTCGGCGCTCACACTCCTCCAGATACGGGCGCACCTGGTCTGAAGGCACTGAGATCAGAAGCTGCTGCTCCAATCAGAGCAGTGGAAAGCGAGGGGGCGGGGCTTACCGGCAGGAAGCAGCTGGAGCAGCTCCCTCTGCTTCTGATGCAGGCGCCGCCTCGCCTGCTGCCGCCGCACACACACCTGCAGGAGCGTTCATCAGGACAGAAGAGCTGAGGAAAACCTAAACACTGAAATCAGGCAACGATAGCAGCCTGATGTATTTTATTTTTAACTTTTATCTTAACTTCTAGATTATTTTTCATTTGCTGGATTAAAAGAGAGGAACCTGGACTCTTAAAAAATATTATTCTTTCAAAACAAGAGTTTAATAAATTACATAAAGTTGCTCTATTAGTTTTTCGTCTTTCATGCTGTTTTGGAGTTTTCTGGAAGTTTATTCCAGATCTGTAGTGCCTAGAAGCTGAACACTGAACACACAGACCTGCAGCTGCAGCACTGACCTGGTAGCGTAGCTGCTCCTCCCACTGCTGCGCCGCCTCCTGCTGCTGCAGACGCCTGCGCCGCGCCCTGATGCCAACATGGCGGTAAAAACGTTAAACATGTGGTGAGGAAGTGCGTCGCTCTGATGTCGATCCCATCAGATCCTGATCCGTACCTGTATCTCCGCTGCAGCGCGCTCACAGCTCTGCTGAGGCTCTTCACTCTGCGCCGGGTCAGAACCGAACGCCACGCCGCCTGGATCACACACGCCGCCCGCACGCGCTCACTGCTCACCTTCACACACACATTTATTGAGAACGTTGAATTTTATCCATCATAAGGTTGCTTTATTCAAATTTAAATAACAGGAACTAAATGTATAATTTAGCCATCAATTTAGTGACTATTATTTCCGATATATCAGACGAACCTCTGACTGACGGCTGGCGGCTTCTTCCTGACGGATGACTGCGATCAGCTGATCCACTTCCTGTTCTAAGCCCCGCCCCCTCCAATCTTTCTCCAGCAGGCTGTCCAGTCCTGCAGACACATAGAATGACCTCTGACCTCTCCAATATGTAGTAACACAGTCTCACCTCCTGCAGTCTGACCTCTGACCTTTAAAGTTGAACAGGAGAGAGCGCAGGCGGAGTCCCAGCTGATTGGCCATCAGGAGCATGAGCCTGACGGAGGCTCCGCCCACAGCATCGTCTGAGCTCAGAGCCAATTGGGCCACGGCGTCATTGAGCAGCAGCAGAGTCGATTCGTCGCTCAGCTGGGACAGGAAGTCTCTGCAGTTTCAACACATAAAGGTTGAAATATTTATACCAGGATTATTTTATAAACTAAAGTCTCATTGACTCAGGTAAACAGGAAGTGGTGTGGCGTGTTCCTACCTGTTGACTGTGCAGGTTTGAATCCACATCTGGATGCAGAGTAGCGACACAGTGAGATCATCACTCATCTGGATCCGCTCGTAGTGGGCGGAGCTTAGCACTGAAGAGACAAAGTTTGTTTGTGAAGAAGCTGCAGGTGTTGGGGACTACTTTCTGGGGCGGATGAGGTGAGCGGACCCTGAGCCGTGAGGTGGGGGTGAGCAGAGAGCAGCCAGCCCACGGCGTCCATCACCGTCCTGAGGAGGGGCGGAGCCTGAGACAGACCACAGAATTACTGCTCTTCATCACTGCTCTTCATCACACCTGCTGCTCCTCCTCCTCACCTCTGAATGGCTCATCAGTTGACTGGCCAATGACAGCAGAACGTCCACCACTGACGGCAGGAACAGCCTATGAAAAGCCTCGGAGCGGCTGCCTGGCTCCACCCCCACGCAGCTCGAGCTGGATCAGAGTTTTAGAATATCAGACTAAATAAAATAATTAAAACAGCTGCTAAATCTTCAAACAGTTATGAACATAATTTAAAACAGGTCACAATATATTTTCCAAAGAATGTATAGATAAATAACCTGAATGGTGACCATATTTCATTACTGAAGCGTTTAATGATGATGTTCACCATGTTCACCTGGTCAGGTGGGCCAGAGTGGCAGCAGAGGCCCAGTTCCCCCTCAGCCTGCTGGGGCTCAGAGACAGAACCCGGACACAGTGACTCAGAACCCCGCTGTGGTAGAACCGAGTCTTGACCCAAGTCAGCGCTCCACTGTCTGTCTGCACTGCAGCAGAGTTCAGAACCTCTGGGGGAAAGATGGGATCGAATCAGAACCATGCTGACCTCTGACCCCGGCCTCCTCAGCAGCACACTCACTGTTCAGGGTTTCATTCAGGAGGACCATCTGCTCCTCTGGGCTCAGGCCTTCATCCTCCAGCTGCCTCCTCAGCGCTGACATCACAGCCTCCTCTTCCTCCATCAGCTCCACCAACTGAAACAGAATCAGGGGATGTATCTGGCTTATTTTGATTTAATGACAGATTATGTCAGATGTCCTTCCTTCCATTTGCTTAAAGTGAATTTTGAAAAAACTAACCAAGGTTTAGCAGGTCCTGCTCTCTGTTCTGGACACGTTTCTGGAAGGTGACGGGTTTTCAAACACCTGCTAGCGTTAGCAGCGCTGCTTTCTTCGCCACTTTTCTTCTAAATAAAGATTTAGTTCATATTTCTTGACTTCAAAACTACCTGCTGAGTCATTTTATGCCTCTTACAATATAATTAAACTCACCTATGCTGTAATTGTTCCCCAACTACCAGAAGCTAGCGCCTCAAGAGCAGACGACGCTTGTTTCCAGGGTAACCTGACGTCATGAGTACGCGACAGCTGGGCTTAAAAAACTTTATTAGCAATGGACAAAATTATTATAACCTCTTTAACAGAAAATTTACACAACAGAAAAAAAGTAGCATGTTTATTTTTACTTTATGTTAATTGTCAGATCTAACCATTTTTATAAAATTTCAAAATGCAAAACAAATATTAAAAATAGTAATTTTTGTGAACAAATATTTCATGTTTTTTACGAATGAAACTATGCAGGATAAAACAACTATTTGACTAAATAATAATAAAAAATATGAATGTGTAAGACGTTGGTATAACTAAATATCCAGCATTGACAATCGAAGTATAATAAAACAAGTCAACTCATCTGCATGTCGTTCCCACTGTGTGCCTGCAGATGGCGCTGCTGCTCCAGCTGAGAACATGGAGAGCATTTCCTCTGGTCAGAACTCCTGCCTCAGATACTGATGCTGGTTATTGTGCTGCTGGCCGACTTTATGATTTATTTATTATTATTCATGAAAAAAATTCAACTGAGTCATCAGACATTACAGAAATTATGAATCACTCCAAACATCACGAGCTATCAATAATCTGTAAGAGTTTATCAATAACTTCCAATTTAAAAATATATAAACTCTATTAAATAAAAGTATATACTATAATATACTGAGATAGCCTACTGTATTTTACAATATTATTTTGTATTAAACAAATTATATTATTAATCCTGATGGTCACGTCAGACTCCTCATGTTGATAGTAACGGTACCGGCAGCACCGGTAACGTTGTAGTAACGGGTGGAGGCGGGGTGTGTGTGTGTGTGTGTGTGTGTGTGTGTGTGTGTGTGTGTGTGCGCGTGTCGGTGCAGCAGATGCTGCAGCTCTTGTGCACAGCGCCTCTCTGTCTCCAGTGCGCCTGCGTGCTGAAACACACCGAGCGGCCGCAGGAGACACTGAGAGGGGATACCCGGCCTGCGTGGGCTCCACGGTACCAGTAACGGCACCAGTAACGGTCCCGGTAACGGTGACGTGATGTGATGCGATGCCGCGCGGGATCACGGTAACGTAAGCGCAGCAGCAGCGGCGGCGGCGGAGGAGGAGGAGGAAGAGGAGCAGGACTGACGGTCGAGGCTGAGCCGAGCAGGATGCAGCACTGACGGTCCGATCGGTACCGGGATTAGAGGAACGCATCCCACCGAGCGAGCACCGGAGCCCGCGGCTGGTACCGACCCGATCTGATGTGAGGCTGCGGGGATGGACGGGTAGCAGGAGGCGGAGCGGACCGACCGAGCGACGGCACATAACGGAGGAGGAAGAGGAGGAGGAAGAGGAGGATGAATCCGGCTGAGGGAGGAGGAGAAGCGGGCCAGGACGGCCTGGCGACGGCAGGTGGGGTGTGTGCGCGTGCGCGAGGCGCGTGCGTGCGGGAGTGTGTGAGAGGGAGCTGCTGTCGCCATGATGCTCCAACATCCGCCCATTGACGGACCGTCTGTGTGTGTGTGTGTGTGTGTGTGTGTGTGTGTGTGTGTGTGTGTGTGTGAACATCCCTCTCCAGCGGCACTGAAGCGCGTGCACGAGCAAATGCAAGCACGCGCTGTGAGCGTGAGTTGGGGGTGGAGGGTCCGACGAGGAGGATTATGGGAAGGCCTGCTGGCCCTTGGAGCTGGTGTGTGATGTAATGTGGAGTGTGTTCACATCTGTGGAGAACCTGAGGGGCCGATAGCGGCTCCAGGGGCCCGGAGGCAAACTGAGGGTCCTGGAGGATTCTGAGGGGCCCAAATCTGGTCCTGAAGGGACCTGAGGGCCAACCAGGGGCCCACATTTTGCCTTGAAGGCCTTCAGCGTCCCAAATGTGGCCCTTGAGGGTCCCGAGGGGCCGCCAAGGCCCCAAATCTGGTCATAAAGGGTTCTGAAGTCCCACCAGGGACCCATAAATTAGTCTTGAAAGGTTCTGATGGACCCTGCTGACCCAAATTTGGTTCTGAAGGGCCTCCAGGGGCCCCATGCTGGGTCCTTAATGCAGACTTTTTGCTGAAACTCATAGAAAACCTGAATCTGATGAAGGATTTCTGCAGAAACTAAGAGCTAAATGAGGAAATGTCTTGTTAATCCAGATGGATTAGGATTGAACAGATTAGATGATAACTGAGGTGAAAACCTGGCAGGTATCTGAACGGACGGTTGATATAATTATGAATATTTAATCCCTTTACGATTCAGATCAAACCCAGAGAGTTTCATGGGATTTCAGCAGCAGGAAACTGGGAGAAATCATTTATTAACGACTTTACAAATAAAACAATAAAATGATCAATGATGTTTTTATGTCTCATATTTAGAATTTTGCTCCATAAATAAATTTTAGCTTCTGTTGAAGACAGAAAACCTGAATGATGGAGCACGGTGGTGGCAGCATCATGCTGGGTGTCTTTCAAGCTAACTAAAAGAAAAATATACTTTGAAACATATTTTAAAAATCCAAGACTAAACAACACTAAACATACAAAGCAGAAATAAAAAACAGACAATAATTAATGATAAAATATTAATAATCAAAATGCTAACAAGGTTTAACAGTGATGTGTGTTCTCTTATGCTTCATGTTGAAATCTTTAGAGGCTTTTTTCAAAGTCGCTGCGACACAGACTGCTTCAGGAGAGCTAAACGATCTGACTTGAGTGGAACATGTAGACGTGGTTCTGCTCTTTGCTTCCGTTTTGGTTGCTGCTACATTATTTTGGTTTTGACTAGTAAAAGTGATTTAATGTGTTGCTGAATCCTTACGTGTTCAGTGTTGATGGTAATTATCCAAACGGCGGCGGAGAAATACCAAAGAGACGCAGTGAGGTCACGGAGGGCCCTGCGGCTCGGGTTGGGCTCCGGGTCGGGTTCTGGGTCGGGTTCCGGGCTCTCGGAGGCAGAGTGAGTCTTCAGGCCCCCCGGTCTGACATTTCAGGCTGGAACGCAGTCATTAGCTGCTGTTGCGTAATCATCGGTTTGATGAGTCCTGACAGACTGACAGCAAGTTCCTCCAAAGGCTCTTTCATCTGCTTCTATTCTGGGCCCAGCGCCGACTCACAGGACGGGCTCTGGGTGGAAACCCCCTGATTGGCAGCCGATTAGGGATCAATCCACGTCCTGACAGAACACGCATGTTCCAACACCCACCGCTCAGTCATTAGCTTCTGCTCCATGCTAACACCAACACTTCATCACTCAGAGCCTGAAGCTCAGGTCATGGCAGCTGCAGCAGCTGCTGCGGGAAAATAAATATGAACGTTAATTTAGAGCAAGTAAATTTAAATTTGATTCATGAAACTGATTCATGGATTCTGTGACATATGACAGCTTTTGTGGCAGGTTGAATATTGTATATGAATAAGTTCATTTTGAACAAATCAATTAAAAAATGCCTAAATGGGACACGGTTTCGCTGTCACTAACATTAATGGATTCTTGTTTCTGTCTTTGTTGAAAATGAGCTTCTTCCTGTTTGTCATCCAGTGCAGGCAGCCAGCCGCCTCTGCCACGGTTCTCTCTCTGCGCCGCCTGTTGCTTTTTGCTCAGTTAGCAGCTGAAAGAAGTTTAGATAAAACTAATCATCTCCATGTTTCTGCCACTTTCATCTGATTTTCAGCCAAACCTCCCTGGACTGGAGAGAATCGGCTCATAGCTATGATTTCACTAATCGATTGGTTGATTGAAAAAAGGACTCAAAGCCTGTTTGGATTTCTTTAGGGCAGATCGAAGCCTATCACGGTTCAATTTGCTCCCTTGTGAAGAAAGAACTCAGCCCATTTCCAGCTCGGTCTGTGAAACGTATAAAAAGGTTCTGAGTTTCTGTAATCACCGCAGCTCAGCTGGAGCCTGATGAGTTTCCACCAGCTCAACGCTTGATTATGGAGATGATCAGAGGCAAATCTAAAGATTTCCTTTGTTAGCTTATGCTAACAGACTTCACACCGAACTCTTTCTGAGGCAGAGCTCTGCTGGGCTTCCAGAACCGAGCCGCTTGGACTCCCAACTGGGTCCAACATGCAGCCACTTCGCTGTTGATTTGAATGATGACTAGAAGGAGCGCGACTTCACTCCTTCCTTTTGCATCCGCTTTTCAGTGTTCGACACACAAACCAATACTGAAGATGTGTGGAATATGTCCAGGAGCCGATATGAGCTGAAAAAAACAACTTTTAATCACTTTAGTGCAACTCCAGTCCAGTAGAAAGTCCGGTTCGGTTGGCGAGGCGTGGATGTGAAATCGAACTCTGGTCCGTCTCCAAACCTCGTCCGGTTTGGTTGAACTGAACTCTGATGCGGTTCAAGTGTGAACGCCAAGCGAGCTGGAGACGGCCCAAAAAGCAGGAAGTGGGCTATTGCGCAGAGCATTCTGGGTAAATACAACCAAAACAAATGCATTAGCCTAGCGTTAGCGGGAGAAAAGTTTTGATTTGAAGCAAATCTATCAGCCTAAAAAAAGTCTGGCTTAGATAATAATTCCAGAAGATGCTGAGGGCTACAAAAGTTAATCATTTTAAACCAGAGAGAAACAGAATATTCAATACCTTCACTCAGGATTTTTCCTAAATCGCTGACGCAGAAACGTTTCCACTTTGGATCCCCACATCACCAGGAGTCACCTTGAGACTCCTGGTCTCCAGGACATCCTTCACAAACATTCACGTTCAGTGGATGTTCGTGAAGTTTCCTCATCTTTTGATAGAAATATCAGTCAGCAGGTGGCAGAAAGCCTGCTGTTAGGTAAAGATTAAAGACTCAAAGATATATTTACTCTGTTCCTGATGGATGTAACTGCAAAAAGAGATGAAAACCATCGCAGGCTTCAGAAAAGGCCTTGGGGGGAGAAAAGGAAAAAGAGGTTTATTTCTTATAAATGGTGAATTCTGGAGTCATTCCAGTTTCATCCAGATGTAAAATAGACGATAAGACCAGAATATATTATCTGTTCCCAAGATGGCGTAGAGAGAATGAATAAACCAGGAGCTTCGGTGGAAGTTTGAGTTGAACTCTAATTGACTTCGCAGCAACACTGAAACCACAAAGGCTTGAATGCCAAGTGTAAAATGTTGCTGAACATCTTTGTTATCCAACAGAACAACATCTGATCTGATTAGCTTTAGTGGCAGAAAGAAAAGAATTGATCGTTATCTTGGTGCAGTTTGCAGCAGATATACGCAGCTGTCTCTAGAACTGAGAAAAGTGGATAAAATAAAAACATGAAAACATGTTCCACCTTGCTCAATTGTACAACTTATTGATCCGAGGGTGAAATATTCATTGTCATCAATCAGGAAGATGATCAGAGATGAGTTGACAAAATCCAAGCAGCAGACGGCTTCAGTTTATATCATCAATAAAACCTTAAAGGTTCCCAGTAGAACATTCACTCATTAGTTCTCTGTTCACCGGATGTGAAGGAGTTCATCTGAAGATTATATCTGACTAAACACCCAAAGACTGGAAACATTCTGCATGAGGAAGCAGAACAGCTATAAAACATCCTCTCTTCATTTCGCGCAGACATCAAACATTCCTGTACCCAAGGTCGTCTCTGCTGTAGTTTTTGCTGAGTGTTTTTGGTGTGAGATGAAAGCCTGTTGGGTGTGGAGGAGACGGAGCAGGACGGCGGTGGAGAGCCAGAGACGTTTCTCTCTCTCAGGGTTATCTCTGCCTGTCGGGCTGCTAATGTGAGGCGTTTAATGCCCTCAGTGTGCGAGGGCTGGATTAGCTTCCTCCTGCTGAGCGGGATGATCTGACGCATATGGGAGGCATGTCTGAACACACACACACGTGTTTCTTTCTGGGGATCCTGGTTGCACATCGTCTCTAAACCAACAGAGCCATTAAATCAGCTTTAATAAGGTTTTAACACCAACTCTAAACTTGTGAATTAGGCAAGTTAAATCCCGACTTGTAAACTGTTCTCACTCCTTCATTCTGTTGAAATGATTTGTATCATTGATTAGAAAGTTATTGCTCCAAAAAGCACAACTAAAGCATTTACTAAACTAGTTTTCAGTGAATTATGTCACATTTTTCTAACCACTTAAACCTGATTTATACATTATGAGATCATTTATGGATTAATTGTCTAGTAATTTGATGCAAAAGGTGCTTAATATGAACCAGCCTGGGATCTTTCAGGTGGAGTTTTTGGGGAATAAAAAACGTCTGTTGGCGTTGGAGGACACAGACCAGACACCAAACACAAGCTAAAGACGTCGATGTTTGTCTTCCAGGTTCTGGTAAAGCAGAAACTGTTCGGGCCGTGGATGTCCTGACGGTGCTCAGAGAGAAAGTGGCCTTTGTATCAGGTGAAAACAGTACTGGATTTATTCTGGTCCTGCTGGTTTTATTCTGGTCCTGCTGGTTTGATTCTGGTCCTGCTGGTTTGATTCTGGAAGCGTGTTGAAGTCACAGTTGTATGCGATTTCCAGGTGGAAGAGACAAACGAGGCGGACCAATTCTTACCTTTCCAGCAAGGACCAATCACGATCGAATAAAACAGGAAGATCTCAGCCGATTGGTCACCTACCTGTCAACAGTTCCCAGGTACAACTCTGAATATCTTTACTGCTCAGACCGATAAGGATCAGCTTCAACGATTTATTTAGATATTAATGTCTACCAAGACCTCAGTGTGGCACAAAGTTCTGTCATTGGTTTTGTCAGCAGTCTGTTGAAGGGAGACACGTTGGTTTCATTGCCGCTCTGCGTTTCCCTCAGTGAGGACGTTCGAGCTCGTGGCTTCACCGTTGTGGTGGACATGCGCGGCAGTAAGTGGGACAGCGTGAAGCCGGTGCTGAGGACGCTACAGGAGTCATTTTCCTCCAACATCCACGCAGCGCTGCTCATCAAACCGGACACCTTCTGGCAGAAACACAAGACCAACCTGGGCAGCGCCAAGTTTAGCTTTGAGGTACCGCCAACTGTTCTTCAATTGTGGCTTCTTGACTGGAGGCCAACTGGATGTTGTTGCAACTTAACAGAGAGATGAAACATCTTCAAGTGCCACTCCTTTATGTTCAAGCTGTTAAGGTTTCCAGAGTGTCCTGCATTGAGCCAGTAACCCGTCTCTGTCCCCAGACCAGCCTGGTGTCAGTGGAAGGCCTCTCCCGGCTCATCGACCCGTCCCAGCTCACGGCGGACCTCGGCGGCTCTTTGGAGTACGACCATGTGGAGTGGACTGAGCTTCGTCTGGGACTTGAAGAGTTTTCTGGAGCTGCAACGCAACTTCTGGCTCAGCTGGAACAGCTAGAGGCCGGCTTGAACCGCATACCAGAGCCAAAAGACGTGGACGAGGCCCGCAAGTGAGTACTTTGGACGTTTCAGAGGTCAGGGTCGCTCAGGGTCGACCTGAACGTTAACGTTAGGGTGTTCTCATCATTAGACTCCTAGAGGAACACAGTCGTCTCCGGAACACGATTGCCACCGCACCAGTGGATGCCCTCGACAGAGAGGGGAAGAGCTTGCTTCAGCGAATGCGCCTGGGCCACTCACACGGTGACGGCTCCACGGAGGGCGGGGGCGGAGGAGGCGGCGGCACCTGGCTGTCAGGGGGGGCCGACTTCCAGAGTGTAGCCCCAAAGGTTTCCTCTCTGCTGGACCGGCTGCAGGCAGGTCGCACCCACCTGCTCCAGAGCTGGAATGACAAAAAGCTGCACCTAGACCAGGGTCTGCAGCTGCACCTGTTTGAGCAGGACGCCACCAAGGTGAGGTCATGACCCCGCAAGAAAGCTTTGCATTATTTTTCCTAATGTCCAATCAAGTTTTGCATCGTTATTTGCAAATCCAGAGCTGCTGTCTGACCCGTCTGTGTTGCTGCTGCCTCTCCTTGTCTCAGATGTCGGAGTGGATCGCTCACAGCAAAGAGCTGTTCATGCAGAGTGTGACAGAAGTCGGTCAGAACCACCAGCACGCTGTCGACCTGCAAACACAACACCAGCACTTCACCGCCAACTGCATGGTCAGTGTGTCCGTCTCTGTCTCTGGCGCCTTGCTGAGTCTTTCATGTCTGAACAAACATGGCGGCGCCTGCGCTTCTGCAGAACGGGAGCGTAAACGTGGACAGCGTGGTCACCGTGGCAGCGAGACTCGCCGAGGCCGGCCACTATGGAGCGGAGCGCATCGCCATGGTGTCGTCACGGTTACAGGAAGAATGGAAGGCCTTGACGACCGCCCTGGAGGAGCGCAGCAACACGCTTGCCATGGCAACTGGCTTCCACCAGGGGGCAGAGCAGGTACGTTACGTCCGACACTCCGTAGGTCATGAACTGAAGAAATGTTTCAACTGCGTTGAACTCTTCTTTCCTTTACCCGTTTCATCGTCCTCATTTGACCTCATTTGACCTCATTTGACCTCAATGATCAAGTTCCGCATTTCTCTTGTTCTTTCTGCTTTTTATACTGCAGACTTTTTACATCAGGATGGACCTCCAGAGAGAAAAACTAGAAGAGCTACCAGTAGAGACGTGTTGTAGCTTTATGCTCTCTGCTGCTCTAGCATAAAACATAATCTATCTTTATGTTTCCACCGAGGGGCAGAGAGCGTACCTTTATATTCAGTACAGCATAAACCATTATGAGCTAAAGTAGCAAAAAAGTGTCCCAAAGTCCAAAGGAAGGATTGGTTCTCAGCCCCCGGCTCTGATTCTGGCTCTAAATCACATTTTAGAAAAGCTCAGAGAGAAATCCTACCTGTCCTCTCTGGACTTGTGGCCTTATGGCTGCTTGGAGTCGCATCTTTCTTTTTGCTGTAAAGACAGTTATGGGCATAGTGTCATAAAAATATTTAAATTATGCAACATTATGTTCTGTATGCAACAATACAATTCATGAATTCTTTGCCTGCCTGTTTCATTGTCCTCATTTGATGTCACTAAAGTCTCCAAAGGTCCAAGAGAAGGTCTGCGAAAGCCTGGAAGGTCTGTCCTTTACCCGTCTGCATGAAGGCGTGTCTGTCTCTCTGTCCAGTTCCTTCTGCGGGTGGAGGGTTGGGTTAAGACGTGCTCCGAAGGATCCTTACCAACTGCAACAGCAGAGCTGGAAGCTGCGACTAAAAAGCACCAGGAGCTAAACGAGGAGATATCTGCCAACTACACGCAGGTTTTGACCTGGAGTCCCACTAACGTCTCTGTGTCTGCATGAAGGAACCTGAAGTCCTCCTGTCTGTTTGTAGGTCAGTGAAAGTGGAAAAGCCTTAATGGACGTCCTCCAGCGTAACGGCAGCAGTGGGTCTGAAGAGTCGGCAGCCAAGCCAGACTTCGCCCCCGCCACGCACACCATCATGGGAGTTCTGCACCAGGTGATGCAGGTGAGGCTCGGTGAAACGAGCCGTCAGGGCAGAATTACGGCAGAAAGATGTGAAAACGTACCGGGACTTTCTCCTGTCTGCTCAGGGTCACCATGATGTGGAAGGAGCCTGGCAACACAGGAAGCTCCGCCTCCACCAGCGCCTGCAGCTCTGCGTCTTCCAGCAAGACGTCAAACAGGTCGGACCACCAGCATGCATGCTTACATCAATCAATCAATCAATCAATCAATATTTGCATAGCCCAAGGCACTAGCTTTAATGACCATCCAGATTTTCCTTCCACCTAATTTTCTGCCAGGTGTTGGACTGGGTGGAGCAGCATGGAGAGGTTTTCCTCAACAAACACACCGGGGTGGGGAAGTCCCTGCACCGGGCGCGGGCGCTGCAGAAACGGCACGACGACTTCCAGCAAGTCGCTCAGGTGACCCAAACGTTCCCAGATCCTGATCCTCCGACTTGCTGAACCGACCTTTGACCGACCTCTGGTCGTCTTTCAGAACACCTACACCAACGCAGAGAAGCTTCTGGAGGCGGCCGACCAGCTGGCCCAGGCCGGGGAGTGTGAGGAGGAGGAGATCTACCAGGCGGCCAGAGACCTGGAGCTGCGGATGCAGGTAGCCGGGGGTGTCTATGTCCTGGAGGGAGCCGGGTGGTGTCTATGTCCTGGAGGGAGCCGGGTGGTGTCTATGTCCTGGAGGGAGCTGGGTGGTGTCTATGTCCTGGAGGGAGCCGGGGGCTGTCTAAATGATAGGATGTGTCTAAATGCTGGGTTGTTTCTGACGTCAGTGCGGTGCTTTGCAGGCCTTCATCCAGCGTGTGGAGCAGAGGAAGCTGCTGCTGGACCTCGCCGTGTCCTTCTACACTCACACTAAGGAGGTAACATTCCTAGAAACACCGACTGAACGTTTCTAGGCATTCATGATATTTCATAGCAGTAAAAACAAATGCAACTTAAAGCCAACTGAGATTTTCAAACATTCAGCTTCAGAAGGCGATGAGTGAATGAACGACCTGCTCTCTTCTTCTTCTTCTGCTCCTCAGCTGTCGGTGTGGATGGAGGGCCTCCAGAAGCAGCTGACCTCTGACCTCTTGGTGTGTCCAGACACGGTGGAGGCGCTGCAGGCTCTGATCAGCCAGCAGCAGCAGCAGCAGGCCAACACACAGGTACGCCGTGGCCTCAACCCCAGCGTCTTCATAACAACCTAACACTCCCTGACCTTTGACCCCTCGACCCGCACTAACACTCTAACCCTGACCCGCAGGAAGCTGCGATGAGTGTCATCCGGGAAGGAGAAGACCTCATCCTGCAACTCAGGTGATTTATGGCATCAAAGGCTGATAGAGAATCAGATAATCTTTATAGATTATTAAAACATTGATTGACTGATTGATTGCGTGGCTGAGATTTAATCAGGAATGCGGTGAGAAGATGCCATGTGTTGTCATCCAGATACACTATCTGTGCTTCTATTAACTGTAAAATTGCACAAATTGAAATGATGAAACTAATCCCTTAATTTAAAAAACCTTAAACGTTTTGATAAAATGTTTTTGTGTATTTCATAAAAGCTGCAACAGAAGCAATACCAGCTGGCTCCACTAGAGGCATTGCATGCCTCATGGTCGCTGCCATTACGTTTTTTATTGAATAAAAACCGTGACATTGTATTTCTACTGGATATGCATGCATATATAACTGTTCTGTTCTTGTTTATAAATGTGTTGGATTTTAATTTGACTTATTCTGTATTTTTGTCTTTGCATCTCACAATGTTTTGCATAATTTTGTAGAATTATGTTTCCTTCCAGGTTCGATACTGTTGGTGGCATTTTTTCAGATGAATCGGTTTAGTTTCCTAGTTTATAGTTTCTATACTAAGAGGGTGCGCTTGCTTTAGGCCCCAGGGCAGCTCGGTGGCCCATGTGGAGTCGGTGTTGCAGCAGCTGGAGGAGTCCCATGCTCAACTGGAGGAACTTTTCCACCAGAAGAAGATCAGACTGGACATTTTCCTGCAGTTCCGCATACTGCAGCAGTGCACCCTGGAGGTAACGCCTGGTTCTACACTTGCTAACTAAACTGAAAACTTTTTCTGATGTAATATTCCTGATTCTCAAACATCATTTGGTCTTCAGGTAACTGGGGAAATGGATGCCTGGAAACAGGACCTCCAAAAGCAGTCCCAGGACTTTTCATCTGAGAAGCTAACGTCTCCACGGCTAGCTGATGCTAACCCGGAGCAGCTAGCCCAGGACAAGCTAGCCCTGGGCCAGTCTCGCCTGGCCGAGGCCACACCTGAGGCGTTGACCTTGGCTCAACAGCGTATCCACAGGTAGACTGAGCAAATTGGCATCATCTTGCTGAATTCAAAAAATACTTACCATATCAGGATTTAATTTATCATCTGACTGCTCTGCAGGCACATGGAGCGAAGGCTGGCGATGAACAATATGATCTATGAGGTGATCCAGCAAGGTCATGACCTTCAGCAATACATCGCAGAGGTCCAGGCATCAGGTAGGTTACAGGTTTTACTTCAAAATGAGAAAAGAGGTAAAACCTGCTGTCATCTGCATAAAGAAAAAAAACAAAGATACAATGTGCTAATGACAGAGCCTTGAGGTACACCATAAAAAGAGACAGGGTTCAGATAAACAGGTCCATCATTAGAATACTCAAAGTCTTCACTTTGAAATCAAAGACTAAAGAGAAATCCTTGTACAAAGATTCTTCTTCAAGAATTCTTGGTGCAGCGCCCCCACAGGCCAGGAGGGGAACATGTTTCAATCAGGTTGGATTGTTTGACTCACAGCAAAAAAAAAAAAAAAGAATAAATGTTGCAATTCTGGTTCCAGTCGAACCGAATCTACCGGACTGTGAGGTGTCAAACATCCTGAGTGATTCTGGATTTGGTATCAATTGTTTTTATCTCCATCGGTGTGTTAATGTTTGTTGGACGTCTATTGACGGAACCAGGCAAGGGGAACGAAGTGATCCGTGTTGGGGATCTGTAAGCAGGTTCAGATCCCCTGATTTCAGAAAACACTGACACTTCTTGGAGCATCTAATGTCCAACAGTCCAGTGATGCGAGACAAAAAGGTCCAACAGAACGTCGGCCATCTTGAATTCAAAGCCTTTCTATTGTTAGTGGTTCAATGCGAACAGAATAAAATCCTAGAGAGCCACAAGAATCCGTCAGCAGATTTTCCCCAGCGGCGACCAGCCCAGCATCACACTGATGTCAGGGGTGGAGAGGGGGGGCAAGGGGGGCGGGTTGCTATGGAAACTGCTCTCTGAAGCACACAGCTGATCCCCATGGAAACCAGCGTATTGAATTCGCCATGGAGACACACACATCAGAGCGTGCATGCACAATGAGGCAGCTGGTGTGCGGTTCCTAAGGTGCGCCGTGTGTTGCAGGTATGGAGCTGTCCGAGGCGGAGGGAGGCCTGACGGCGCAGGTGGAGGAGCTGCAGCGCCTCCTGCAGGACAAACAGAAGGAACTGCAGCAGATCGCAGACCACACACACACATACCTGGAGCAGAACCTGCAGCTCAGACACCTGCAGAGCCAGGTCAAACAGGTAACACACACTCCACCCTCTGCACACACACACTCAGACTTCCTGCTGCCTACCTGCGTGTGTGTGTGTGTGTGTGTGTGTGTGTGTGTGTGTGTGGGGGTGTGTGTGTGTGTGTGTGTGTGTGTGTGTGCGTGCGTCTCTCAGGTGCTGGGCTGGATCTCTGAAGGGGAGATGAAGCTGTCCTCCTGCATGCTGAACTCCAGCTGTCTGTCTGAAGCTGAGCAGCTGCAGCGGGAGCATGAGCGCCTCCAACAGACCATCGAGGTTACTGCAGACACACCGACCAGAAATAAACATTTAATCCTAAAGTCTGTCACAATAAATAATCAATTAGCTGCATGATCAATTATAAATTCAGACCACAGAGACATCATTGTTTTGGTCTTTATGTTTTATTTTGGATAAATTAAAACATTTTCCAGCTCCAGTGTTAAAGCTGTAAGAGTTGTATATAAAATTAGAGTGTTGGTTTCTATAATGTATTATCAACACATTACTTGAAAATGATTCAAAATAATTGTTATTGTTTCAGCATGCTTTACATTTTATATAAGAAGCAGCAGAAAATGGACTTTTTCAGATTGTTTTTCTGGATGAATAAAAAGCAAAAAGCACGTTGAGGGAACCGCAGGACTCACGTTGTGTTGCAGGCTCTGCTGCATGCAGACTCCCTGCAGAGAACCCACCAGGTGGCGCTGGCTCTGCAGCAGCGAGCTGAGCTGCTCGTCAGGTAGGACGCACAACTTCCTCCATGAACGCTGGACGGACCCGCTCACCGGGAAGACTCTGCTTCTGCACAGGTCAGGCCATTACGACCCGGACGCAGTGAGGGCCTGCGCCCAGACGGTGGCGCTGCACTGGCAGACGCTGATGCTGAGGATCGAAGACAGACTGAAGCTGGTCAACGCGTCTGCCGCTTTCTACCGGACGTCCCAGCAGGTAAACGCACCGCCTCTTACACTGCAGTTCCACGTGTAACCACTGGGGGCGCTTTATGTCCATCACTGTACCGACCGACCAGGTGTGTGGCGTCCTGGAGAGTCTGGAGCAGGAGTACCGCAGGGAGGAGGACTGGTGCGCAGGAGGAGAGCGGCAGCCGGAGCAGCTGCTGCCGCTCATCAGCAAACACATGGAGCAGAAGGAGGCCTTCCTGAAGGTAACAGAAAATACCATCAGTTCCCTTTAGAAATGATAGAAAATAGATTTAAAAAGAAATATTTACTTTGGATCTGCTTGTTCCTCCTGGTTTCATGTTTTCTGGAAACAAGCTGTACCAGATCTGTTTCTTCTGCGACAGGCGTGTACGCTGGCCAGACGCAACGCCGAGGTCTTCCTCAAGTACATCCATCGAAACAGCGTCACTATGGCCAACATCTCTGGCCACAACATCACCGTTTCCGCAGTGACGAGGGTCACCGAGGTCACCGGGCACTCCAGAGTGCCGGAGCAGCAAGTCAAAGGTTCACAGAATCAAAAACCATCCACATATTGTCTAAATAAAGAGTGTAACCAGGACAGAGCCCAGAGGGACGCCACAGATGACTGCCTTCTATATTTAGGGATTTTGGAGGTAGTTAAGCTGACAGATGCTTCTTTGTGCTCAGGAATCCTCAGCGAGCTTCTCCAGAGAGAAAACAGAGTTCTTCATTTCTGGACGCTGAAGAAGCGCAGACTGGACCAGTGCCAGCAGTACCTGATGTTCCAGAACCACGCCCAGCAGGTAAACCCAGAAACGATAGAAATCACTCCTGAGGTCAAACAAATCATCCCTCTGATGTCTCTGAAACAATGTAACTTTCTATCAATCTAAATTTAAATCTGTTCATTTCCAGGCTCTTGAATGGCTGCAGCAGTCAGGTGACCATTACCTGGCCACGCACACGTCGCCGGGGGCAACGGCGGCCGAAACGCAGGAGCTGCTGAATCAGCACAGAGAGTTCTGCATTTCCGCAAAGGTTGTTCCAGAAACGAGTTTAAACTAAATTCCCCTGAAAGTACGACAGCGCCTGCAGGCAATGCAGCTTTAAACTGAAGTTTTTAAAAAAGGGGAGTGAATTTACACCATCAAACTAAAAGTTTGAAAGTAATCTCAGAAGTTTTCTAGAAAACTTGGAAATTTCTGAGATTTTTCTTGCAAATTTTTTATTTTAAGACCTCAATTTTTTGTAGAAAACTTTTGAGATTGTTTTTACAAAATCTTCATTTTTTTTTACTAATGTCAAACGTTGAGCTCATAAAATATATATATTTTCATTTCTGAGTTTTTCTTGCTTATTTTTGTCTTTTCAAACTTCAAAGTTCCTTTTCATTTGAGAAATGTTTGAAAATTGATCTCAAAATTTGGCAGGAAATTTCTCCTCTATTTTTCAATTTACAATCACCCTGATATATAAAAGTGAATTATTTCTGCCGTTTTTGGATGTTTTTATTTGATAAGATGAAACTTAAAATAAACAATAACTAAGTCAACTTCTCCCAGCACACACAGGAGAAGGTTCACCTGCTGATCCAGCTGGCTGAGAGCATGCTGGCTAAAGGCCACGCCCACCGCGCCGAGCTGCGCCGCTGCGTTTCGGCGGTGGACAAGCGATACCGCGACTTCACAGTCAGGATGGGTCAGTACCGCCACCTGCTGGAGGCCGCGCTGGGCAGCAGCTCTCAGGTGATTAAAAGCCTCCACTGCTGCAGATGCTCTCTGTTATCTGAAGGCTAACAGCGCCGCTCGTTTAGGACAACAAGGACCTGGAGCTGGAGCTCATCCCCAACAGCTTGTCGGACTCTGACCCTGAGGTCAACCTGTCCGACCCGAGTCACCAGGTCAGCGACGAGAAGAGGCGCTCCGCCCGCAAGAAGGAGTGAGTACGGAGTGAGGGGCACGCCGGGGGCGACGCTCAGCTGTAATAACACTGTGTGTGTGTGTGTGTGTGTGTGTCTGTGTGTGTGTGTCTGTGTGTGTGTGTGTGTGTGTGTCTGTGTGTGTGTGTGTGGGCAGGTACATCATGGCCGAGCTCCTCCAGACTGAGAGAGTTTACGTCAGAGACCTGCAGGAGTGCATCGAGGTAAAACACCAAGGACCAGCTCAAATTGTGTAGAAAACACAAACACTCCTAACTTTATGATTTAGTGTTTTTACTGTAATTACATCAGAATTCTGGTTACTAAAACTTCAAGTCTGAAATGCTTGAAATTAAAACATTCGTGCATGTTTGAGAAGTCCTTTAATGTCCATGGCAACCATTCAGCTGTGAAACGCCTGATTGGACCTAGCCCTGCCTTTGAGGTGCGGCTCCTCCCCTTGTCGGCTCCTGCAGACTAGTCAGCAGGATCAGCAAACGGCTGGGGGAACTGCTGAGCTCGTTATAGGAGCTACTGCCCTTAGAAACGCAGGTGAAAACATTAAAGGGTTAAAAGAGGAGCCATATTGGGATGACTTCCTGGAGGCAGTGCCTCAGAAAGAGCAGGAGCTTCTTAAAGAGACAGAGGCCCAAAAATGCCACTATGTCCCTTTAAATGTCCACAGTCAAGATTATTCCTGAATACATTCTCTGATCAAATGAACCAGAAATTCTGCTAATGTTTGAAGTGAAAGTCGTGCAGGAAGTGTTGATTTTCCCTAAGAAGCGTCAGGAGAAGCTGAAGTGACTCGTTTGCCGTTTCAGACGTACCTGTGGGAGATGACCAGCGGCTCTGAGGAAATCCCACCTGGACTCACCAACAAGGACGACGTCGTGTTCGGAAACATCCAGGACATCTACGAGTTCCACAACAGGTAGACAAACAGAACTATTATTATACGGCTGAGTGAAACAATCAGAAGCGTTCACCTTGAAAGCACTAACCTCTGTGTTTCTCAGTATTTTCCTGAAGGAACTGGAGAACTATGAACAGCTCCCAGAAGACGTGGGGCACTGCTTCGTTACCTGGGTAAACACAGAGACTTATCACCCATTGATGCTGCATTTAGCTGACATAACGAAGCTTTAAAGCTTGTGCTTTGGTTCTGTGCAGGCTGATAAGTTCCACATGTACGTGACGTACTGCAGGAACAAACCGGACTCCAGTTTACTGATCCAGCAGCATGGAGCCGGATTCTTCGAGGTCATTTTCCCACAAACCCTCAAAACTTCATGTGACTGAGTAGCAGAGTTAGCTAGCTCTTTGTTAGCTAATGAATAAATCAAAACTTAAATGACTGAAACTATTCAGTGTTTGAAACTTAACCATGTTTATATCTGCAGCAGCAGAGATTTTTTACATGATGTTCAGTTTGGGAGAAAAGACGAGAAACGGTCCAAATGTTCTATTCTGTGCTGGAGGGATGAATGTGGATGGATATTAACATTTTGTTTGAACAGGAGGTCCAGAGGAGACACGGCCTGGCCAACTCCATCTCCTCGGCTCTGATCAAACCGGTGCAGCGGATCACCAAGTACCAGCTGCTGCTGAAGGTAAAAACACATTTAAATATGAAAAAAGAGAACATTTGTTTTCTCCTCCGTCTGCAAAACAAATCTGGAGATTTGAAACCAAAAGGAGTCAAAGTTTGTGTCTGAAAGCTGCCGCATGAAGCTTTCTGCTTCTTCTGACGGTGCAGATCACTGAACACCAGCTGCCTGTGTGTGTTTGCAGGAGTTGCTGGCCTGCTGTGAGGAGGGCAAAGGTGAGATTAAAGAAGGCCTGGATGTGATGCTGAGTGTCCCAAAGAGAGCCAACGACGCCATGCATGTCAGCATGCTGGAAGGTAGAGCGTCAGCCTCACCGTGACTCTGCTGGAGACGTTTCTCTGTTCGGTCTGATCTGACTCCGATGTTCCTCTAGGTCTGGAGGAGGGCCTGGAGGTGCAGGGCGAGCTCCTCCTGCAGGACTCCTTCCTGGTCTGGGAGCCCAAGTCTCTGATCCGGAAGGGCCGGGACCGGCACCTGTTCCTGTTTGAGCTGTCCCTCATCTTCAGCAAGGAGATCAAGGATTCCTCTGGACGCACCAAGTATCTGTACAAGAGCAGGCTGAGGGTAACGGATTTATCGCTTCACCAAACAACACAAACAATCATTATTCATAGTTGCTTTTGTCAAATAAAACAACAAAATTAACCAGAGATGATCAGATTATCATTAAACTCTCAGAGGAAAGAAGCATCAACTGAACTGCTTGTGTCCATTCAGACGTCAGAGCTGGGCGTCACAGAGCACATCGAGGGGGATCCATGTAAGTTCGCCCTGTGGGTCGGACGAACGCCGACGTCCGACAACAAGACCGTCCTGAAGGTACGCGCCCAACTTAAAACCTTCTGAGCAAAACGTCACCCAGAAATCTGCTGCAGCTTCACAAGATGGAACTGAAAACTGTTGTGAAGTTTAAGGATATTTCAAACCCTCAGGCGTCTTCCTTGGAGCTGAAGCAGGAGTGGGTTCGCAGCATCAGACAGGTGATCCAGGAGAGGCGGGGCCACCTGCGGGGGGCGCTGCGGGAGCCCATCCCCCTGCCCAAAACCCCCAACCCGACCCTGGGCCGGCAGCGCAGCATCACCCGCAGGTGGGAAACACAGCCAGCTGCCGGCCAGAGAATCAGCTCAACTTCTGATTTTATCCATACAAATACCAACTACCAAATCAATAACTAACTAAAAAAACAGAAAAACTTAGAAAACATGAAGGTTTTCAGTAGCTAAGCGTCAGAATGTGTTTTCTATTAAAATGAGATTAAAATATTAAACTGGAGCTGATTTTCCAGAATGCTGCAGTATTTCCAGAGCAGCAGTTTTGTCCCTCACTGCCTCCCATACAATAATAATAATAATAATAAAACCCAGATGGATGTTTGGTGTGAGGGAAGCTAAAGCTGCTGTGTTTCCAGGGAAACGAGCGAAGACGCGGACAGCCTGGGCGACGCCAGCAGCCAGCCCGACACCGTCTCCATCGCGTCCCGGACGTCGCAGAACACGGCCGACAGCGACAAGGTAAACACTCAGGGCGACGCCTCAGAGGGGCGTGAGCGGCCCAGTGATGACCTCATCACAGCTGCAGGGTGTGTGAGCTTGGTGTGCGTCTGAGGGATTTTCCACTCAGCGCTCTTCTTCTGCAGCCGCTCAGACGAGGTACGTTCCATTTTCTCACCTAACGAGGAATAGAAGAGGTTGGGGTTAGGGTCAGCGACCTCTGACCTGGTGTCCCTGCCAGCCGTGGTCCGCTGGTCGGGGTCAGGGGTGAAAACGCGGGTGGACAGGAGGGCAGGCTGAGAGCAGCGCGGCGACGTTAACGGGGTCAGTTGAAACATTTCTGGCGTCTTTTTGTTTAAAACTCCTGAACATGATGCAGATCTGAAAGTTAAAACTAAAATAATCAAAACAATTTTAGAAATGAACTGAAGCATTAAACAGGTTTTTATAAGAAGTTTGAAAGAAAGAAAATTCAAAATGTTTTGAATAAAAGTTTTCAGGCAGGTGAAAACCTTTAGCAAAAGCTTGAATTGAAAGTATTTTGCAGTGCAAAACATTTTTGAATATATAAATGTTTAAACATATAGAAATAATAAAATGTCTTATAAATCCTAAAGTTAAAACATTTCTGTTAAAAATTAAATCAAAACATGAAGTTTAAAATGTTTTTCTGATCGTGTTTGTTTTCCTCACTTTCTCCGGCTTTCGGTTGTTTGTTTTCCCTCTCCTGGTTTTCCGATCTTCTGGCCTGTTTTCCGTGTTTTGGGATCACAGCTGTGTTGGATTTAAACGGGGAACTCCCCTCTGCTCCCTGCGGACCGCAGCGAGCCCGGTCCCTCCCCGGCAGAACCGGCCGTAACCATAGCAACCTCCACCTATAGCTCCAGTGGCCGTTTGGACCAATCAGAGCGTCTGTAGGATGATGTATGCGGCTGTCATTAGTCACGTGTTTAATCTGCTGAGAGCAACATTAGGTCAGCGCTCATGATGCTTTCAATTACAATCCGTCATCCCAGAGCCTCAATCCAGGAAATAAATAAAATAAAATCAATATGTGAAACTAAACAGAAACATCTTGGTGTGTAAAATGTTTAAATCCTAAAACTATAAAATACACAAATATTCATATATAACTAATACTGTGTGTGTGTGTGTCTGTGTGTGTGTCTGTGTGTGTGTAGCTGTCTGGAGGCTGCGAGTTAGTGGTGGTGCTGCTGGACTTCGCCAGCGGCGGCCCCGGGGAGCTGAGCGTCCGCTGCGGTCAGACGGTGGAGCTGGTGGAGCGCTCTGCCGACCGGCCCGGCTGGTGCCTGGCCAGAACCACGGAGCAGAACCCTCAGCAGGTAGGACCGACCTGACTGGAGGCAGAATATCACACAGTCTGCTGGCTCCTCCTGACCCCAACCGTTTCCTCCCAGGAGGGGCTGCTGCCCATGAGCGCCCTCTGCCTGTCACACTCCCACAGTGCAGCCGACATGGAGGGGCTGGTCCCGGCCTCCACCACCGCCTCCACCACCACCACAACCACCTCCTCCGTCTGCAACTCCTCCTCCTCCTCCAGCACCACCAACACCACCACCTCCTCCTCTGCTGGGAGCACTGGGAAGGGTGAGTAATCTGATTACATCACTTGTTTACATGGAGGCAGATGTTAGCAGCTGCAGCTGTCATGAGCGTCTCAGAGGGGCTTTGAAAACACAACAGTCTGCTCAGATTTAATCATCGATGTCACTTCCTGTTGAAACAGAAACACATCCTGTCGCTCTAAATATTTAAATCCCTGATTGTTGGCTTGTAAACACGGACGGCTCGTCCCAGAATATGAAACATTTAAACTGGTTAGTTTACTGGGATCTTCCTCTCCGTGTTGCCGTCAAAGTTTAGATTGAGCAACTTTCAGCTGCACATTGTGCTGCAGCACTCAGGAATCCCACGAAACGGATTCAGCAGCACAAATCAGCAGAAAACAACCTTCACCAGAGTCGCTGTTTACAAATGCAACGATAAATCTGATCCCAGCCAGTCAGGCAGGCAGCAACCAGCGGTCAAAAATACACTCAGCTTCCCCAAAACTAATGCAATAAACAAGTAAAACACAAAATGCTCTTATCAGCAATTATACAAATATATCAGCTGTTTCATTACATTAAATATTCATTCAAGGAGCTAGCTAGCTAAACGTTCATTTCAGTAAACTTTACTGATCTCAAAAAGTTACAACCTGCAATCAGTGGTGGTTCTAACAGGAATGATGCTCTGGGAAAACCAATTAAAATCAATGCAATTATCACACAAAAAAACTGACCAATATTTTGTCTTCTAGTTTTTGGGCGCCCCTCTCCTTTGTGCCGCCCTGGGTAAATGCCTATATCACCTTCACAGCCTCTAATCAAACTAATCAAGCCAGACAGTTAGTCTTCTTTTACAACATAAACAAATTCAATATTTAAAAAGTTACTTCAACCACAAAATAACTAACACTTGATGAATGAATTGTAGAATCCATATAAGTGAATTCTACAAGCTCCGCCCACTCACCTCGTGGCCCCGCCCTCTGGGGACTGCCTCAGGCTCTGCATGCCAGCGCCTCGCCAGTTCCACCGAGCCCAGAGTCCGGCTGGTTCTGCTCCTCCATTCCCTCTGGATGGACTGATGAGGAAGCATGTGGCGAGGCAGAGGTGCATGCTGGGATTGTTCAGGAGTTTTGGGAAGGATTGTGGGAGCGGACGAGCAAGGTGGGTTCAGAGAGAGAGAGAGCGTGGTGGTTAATGAGTGGCAGGATGAGGTCAGTAACATTCCTGCGGGTCGTTTCTGGTGGACAGGATGAGGTTTCCTCATTGTCAGGTTTCGTCTTAACGGGGAAAACAGGAAGTCCTGTCTGCCATAAACTCGCCACAGAGTCAGACATCAGAGATCATTTCTCCACATTACTCACAGAAATGAATCACAAAATGTCTGCTTCCTCTGTCAATAATTAGGCATAAAGGGCAAAGGTCACTGAGGAAAATCAGAGCCATGAAGTTTATTTGTGATTTAAACAACAACAAAAAAATGTGTCGAGAGAGAAATGTGGCTGGCAGATTTTTAAATGAAAAACAAGCAGTTTAATGAAAATATTTACCTTTCTCACGTCAGTTTCATAATTTAAAATGATCCCTGCTGCTCGTCTTTAACCTCCTTAGCAGTCTTAAAAAAACTCCTCAAATTAATTCTTTCATGTATTTTAAAATATTTCACTGTCATTTTAATACTGATTTTATGAAACTTATGTTTTATTAAGAGGCTTTTATTTTTACCAATAAACCTTTTTATGTCTAAATGTGTTTTATTTTAAGTAGAATTGCTTTCTAAGGTCATATATAATGAAAATATAAACAAAACGGAATTTATAATTATTCGATAAATTTGTTGTTTTATGTATTTGAACAAGTTTAAGCATTTTTCATATGTTTTTTACTTATTTTTGTTTTTATTAATAATGACTGTCAACAAGTTTTTTATATATTTTCCAATGAAGTAAAGAGTCTTATTCATAAATATCATTGCTTTCTACATTCTCTATTTGTGTTTTCTTAAATCTATATATATTTTTATTTTGTGTAACTTATTCAACTGACATTATTAAAGTTATTTTTACTTCCACCATCAGGAAGCAGAAATCTTCTTTCCAAATGGTCTATCAATTGTTTTTTTGTTTTGTTTTCTAATTTAACATTAAAATGCTTTTTTAAAACAATAATTATAATTAATAATTTGACATATTTCTGTGTTTTTGTGCAGAGTCCAGTCTGTACAGCTCTGACGGTTCAGGTCTTCAGATTCAAACCAACAGCCAAAGTGAGAAAACGATCCTCACTCTGAGTCGACACCACAAAAACCTAAAACTAAAACTTGTTTTTATTCAGGCGTCACTTCCCCGACTGTGTTTGGCGTCAGTGGACCACCAGGGGGCACTGCGGGGTCTCCAGGTCCGAAACGCACCAGTTCTGGAACTGGAAACACTCTGAAGGTATCGGTTTTATTTAGCTTTACTTCAACGAGGAGAAATAACCGAGCAGCATTCAGTTTCCCGTTTGCTTCCTGCAGCGTTGGCTGACGAGTCCCGTCCGAAGACTGAGTCAAGGAAAAGCCGACGGACAGAAAAAGCCCACAATCAGAACCAGGAGGCGGGACAACAGGTCCGATGTGGCCACGCCTTTTTCTGGGAACGCGCAGGCGGTGCGTAAACAAACACTGAACCGGTGAAGACGGCGGCCAGCTGGCCGCGTTCTGCAAATTAAAGCGCAGGTGTTTGTGTGCATAAAGAAGGCGAAGAAGGAGGAGGCGGGGCAAAGTGGAGGAGAGGAGGAGCCTGAAGAGGAAAGCCACACCCCTCTGCCACCGCCAATGCAAATCATCAAAGACCCCAACAACCCGGAGGTAAAAACACAGAACCACCTGCAGGTACCTGAGAAACTAAACACACCGACCATCTTTTATCAAACTGATTTCACTCGTCAGCTTTCAGATCCCAGACAGAAATCATGTAGAATCCAGCTACACATGTGGATTTAGGGTAAACAAACATGGCCGACGAGAAGTAATAGTGATAGTTTACTATTTTAAGGTGTTGGATGTGGAGCTTCGTTCTGTTTTTGCTCCAGTTCTTCTCTTTCTGTTGAATGAAATGTTTGAACGAGTCGGTCCTCCATGTTGGATCTCCACTGGACCGTCGTCGTTCTCCTTGTCAGCTGTCCCCTCCGTGTCTACATCACTGTGCTTCCTGATTGGCTGCCTGTCACATTCAACAGGTTTCGTTCTTGCTCCTAATCGATTGATCACCACAGTCGACAGGATTAAAGAGTCGTCCTGATAATCGAAGCAGTCCTAGATAGTCGGAAGAAGAAAATCGGGACTAAAACTCCTGTTGTGTGAATTAGGCCTTAGAGTAATTTATGTTAACTTTTGTCCAGGCTTTGGACTCGGATCAGGGATCCAATGAATCGGATACAGAGCAGCGAAATAAAGCACTGAGGGGACGAATGTAAGTCAAGCCCAACGTTAAAGGAAACATGGCTGAACTTGAAGGAAACAGGAGGTTTCACTGAAGCTTTCTGTGCAGGTTTGTTGTAAACGAGATGATCCAGTCAGAGAAGGACTACGTGAAGGACCTGGGTGTGATCGTCGAGGTGAGTCCTGATTCAAGTTCTCATCTCATGAAAAGGTGAACAGAAGGAACTGCCTCCCCTAATGACTGTCACCTCTCAGGGCTTCATGTCCAGGCTGGAGGTCCGAGGGATTCCCGAAGACATGAGAGGCAAAGACAAGATCGTCTTCGGAAACATCCAGCAGATCTACGACTGGCACCGCGAGTCGGTCCCTCTGGAGCAACCAGAACCATCGTCCAGCGTTTGTTCAGACAGCCTGACGCTGACTCCTGCTTTCTGTTTCAGCTTCTTCCTGGTGGAGTTGGAGCGCTGCGTTCAGAACCACGACCTGCTGGCCGACCTCTTCATCAAACATGTGAGTTCTACCGACCCGGACCGATTCAACAACCCGCTACTCGCCAAGACTTTCAGGAGATTATGGAAAAAAACAGCCTGAACTCGACTCAAACGAGGCTGGAAACATGGATTCATGTTCTTGATTTTTTGGCTTTGAATTTGTTACTGTAATGTTTTAAAACATCTTATTGTAGATTTTTGGTCCCTGATGCATCAAGATATTTCTATGATGAAGTTTTTGTTCTGTTTCCAGGAGCGCCGACTGCACATGTACATCGTTTACTGTCAGAACAAGCCAAGGTCGGAGTTCATCGTAATAGAGTACGAGACTTTCTTTGAGGTAATTTAACAACAACTATAATGGTTTTATTTTCATTCTAGATTATCAGATGTAATAAATCAATAATGTAGTTTTGTTTTCAGGTAAAGTGTTTTTGAATCTAATTAAATGTCCATTTGTAGGAGATCCAGCATGAAATCAGCTGCAGGATGTCCATCAGTGATTATCTGATCAAACCCGTCCAGAGAATCACAAAGTACCAGCTGCTGCTAAAGGTGTGGCTGCCATGGAAACACAACTTATAACTGTGTCAATTAAAAGCCAATTAGATGGAGGAGCTTAGAAACCTAAAGACTTGAATCTGGACTAGACGTTGACCTGCTGGTTTAGACTCAATGGTCTTGAATTTATTCAATTAGATGTTTTGTGAAATAATGGATTTTTCCACCTGCCAGGATTTCCTGAAGTACACAACCAAAGCTGGTCTGGACTGTGAAGAGGTGGAGGTGAGTCTCTTCTGTTAATCATTGCATGATTCCTCTGAACTTATCTTCATTTAGGGCCACAGAGTTACATAATGTGAAATCAAGGGAGGGCCCTGTTTGGCCCTCTGGTGGCTGCTTGGTGCATGTGTCACATTAATCACCTGGTTTTGTTGGAGTTTAAAATGTTTTCTGATCACTGACCCTGACCTCAAGGTGCTTCTATTGGTTTCTGCTTATTCTCCGCTGACCTTTAAGAAGTAACCACGTTTTTAAATCAGGATTTGAGTTCAGAACAAAGACGTGATGAAGTTTGTCAGTTTTGACGTCTGGTTTTGTCTCATCCTCAAAGATCTGATGAAGACAAAGAGGCGGCATTGTGAGGAGGATAATAAATGATTCATACAGGATGGTGAATCATCAGCCTGTGCAACATGGCTAACCTTTGCAATATTTAACATCAGTATGTGTGTTTTGTTTGCAGAAAGCAGTGGAGCTAATGTCGCTGGTTCCTAAACGCTGCAACGACATGATGAACTTGGGGCGCCTGCAGGGATACGAGGTGCTGCAGCGCCCCCTGTGGCACAAAACTTTCTATGATTCTGTTAGATTTTGATAAATGACGTATCTGAATATACAGATATATGGATGTCTGTTATCAGCTTTAATCATACGATAATGTTGCTGAATGTGGAGTTTTCTGAAGATTTGTGTTTTTCTGCCCTCTAGTGGAAAAATACACTTAGTGCACCTTAAAAATATGCTTTACCACAAAAACCTGTTATTTCCATTGTAGATAGTAAAAACAAGAGGAGTAAATATCTGTCAAAGATTAATATAAGAAGAAGAGGATTTCTGTTTCAAAAATCTAAAATTTCCCACTTTTGAAAGTCAAATTTCCACATTTTTTTCTTGACTAATTCTTGACTGTTATTCACCTGAATGCAGCTGTTTTTTTGTCTGACTGCCTGCTGGTGTTCTCCAGGGGAAGCTGACGTCTCAGGGGAAGCTGCTGCAGCAGGAAACCTTCTGCGTTTGGGAGCAGGACGGCGGCGTTTTGTCCCGCAGCAAAGAGCGACGAGTCTTCCTGTTCGAGCACATCGTCATCTTCAGCGAACTGCTGCGAAAAGGCTCCAACAACCCCGGGTACCAGTTCAAAAACAGCATCAAGGTGAGACCAGTCCCACTGGGAAGACAGCAAAACCAGTACATTACCATTGGGAGGCTTTAATGGTGCTGGTTTGTGTGGGGCAGGTGACCTACCTGGCCATGCAGGAGAGTGTGGATGGAGACCCCTGTAAGTTCGTCTTGTGGTCCCGTGGGTCAGCGGAGCGTTTCGCGCTGCAGGCCTCCTCCGCCAGCATCAAGATGACCTGGGTGGAGACCATCGCCACCCTGCTGGAGGCCCAGAACAACTTCCTGTCAGGTGGCAACGTCATTTGAACCTCAATGAACTTAAAGTCTCCATTTTTTACAACCGTTTTTAAATTAGTCAGTAACGTTCTGTGATCGATAGATTGTGCCAGTAATGGAAACAGGTAAAACAAAGCACTGAACCGCACCCAGGATAAACCTGCTCAACCTGGCACTAGGGGGCGCTAGGGAGGTCCCCCAGGTGGCCACTGTGTTTTTGTGATAAACGTTAAAAATGACAAAAACTGAGGCCAACCAGCAGTTCCAAAGACTAGCTTGTGGTCGGTCCATTATGCTCCGATACGTTGATGACGTTTTTTCTTTAAATGTTCTGATCAAATCGTCTCTAAAGTTAAACATCTCCTCTAATCCCAGCTCTCCAGTCGCCTATCGAGTACCAGAGAAAAGAGGCTGGGATCTCTGTGACCCGGCCGCTGTCGTCAGGGCGACCGGCGTCGACCCCGCCCACCCCCAACGGCCACGCCTCTCAGCCTACGCCAGACAGCGAGCAAGACGACCAGGTCTGGGTTGCTTCTGCTGCTCCGACGGTTCCCTCCCATCAGACTGGACTTAAACCCGACTCGTCCCTGCAGGAGCTGGTTCTGGTGGTGCAGGACTTCCTGGCGGTTCGGGAAGACGAGATCACCGTGTACCGAGGAGAGAAGGTCCAGATCCTGTCGTCCAATCAGCAGGGTCAGAGCCTGGTGTATCGGCCAGCCAACGTCGAATCGCCCGCTGCCGAGGGATGGGTGCCACGGAGCGTGCTCAACACACCCTGACACACACACACACACTGACTGAGGTCAAAGTCTGGTTTACACTTTACACACACACACCTGCCACCTGCAGGCCAACAGGGTGAACAGCACCAAGCGAAATCCAGAGAGAAACTGAAGGAGGATGATGATGATCAGCTGCTGACCACAAACTGACTGGATCAGGAGAAAAAAAATCAATGAAACTATCAAAAATCTATACAGTTATCAGCTGAGTTATGTTCAGATGTGCCTGAGTTACGACTTTATTCAGATTAATGTAATGTTGAAGGACTTATATCTGCTTTTTCTTCCTTTTGGATGTTCAGACTTTATTTACTGAACTTTATTTCACTGATATTGATATTAAATTCCAACTAATATTTTACCAAATTAAGAAAAACATAAATTAACCTTGCAATGTTTTACTTAGAGCAAAAATCAGTTTTATTTAATCTTTATTCAGTTGTAGATATCTGACCTCTTCTGGATTAAACCAATTTAAACTAATAATCCGCTTCTTAAGCTTCTAGTTGGACTTTGTCACCATAAATCAAAGGAAGAAGGAGTTAATTTGCATAATTAAGTCTTAAATCTTTCATGGTACAAAGTTGACATCATCGTCCTTCAGGCTTCTGATTACAGTTCACACACACACACACACACACACACACACACACACACAC